TTATCTGATAATAATAAATATTTTTTAACTTAAAATGGACTGCTCAGTTTTATTTATTTTAAATGTGTTATGTATTATTTAATTTATGAAGCAGTTTTTCTATTTTAGTTTTCACTGCTTTCTTTATATGGAGATTATTATAGTGTTAAACTCTCAGAATGTTAAAAGGGAATTCAAAACAACATAATAGGTACCTATTTATACATATATACATTTTTATACATGGGCTAATTGAGATGTAATTCATATGCCCATCAATTGACCCATTTAAACTGTACTATTCAGTGGTTTTTAGTATATTCATAGACTTAATGCAGTCATCACCATCATTTCAGAATGTTTTCATCACCCCAAAAAGACACCCCCATGGCAATCACTCCCCATTTCCCCGTTTTAGTTTCCAAGGACTGTTGTGACATAGTACTACGAATTAGGTGGCTTTAAATAACAAAAAATTATTCTCTCACAGTTCAGAAGGCCAGATGTCTTAAATCAAGTAGTCCTCAGGGTTGGTTCCTTCTGGAGGTTCTGAAGTAGGACCCACACATGCGTCCCCTCCCCTTAGCTTCTGATGATTGCTAGCAATCCTTGGCATTTCTTGGCTTGTAGCTGCATCACTTCAATTTATTCTGTCTTCATGTGGACTTTTCCCTCTGTATCTTCACATGATTTTTTTTTGTTACATCATTATAGTTATACATAGTAATTGAATTCATTTTATCAAAATCACATGCAAGAAATTTGATTTTGATACCTATCCCCCCTTTCCTTGCCCTTTTTCCTCTCTATTCTCCTTCCTCTACTCCATTGATCTCCCTTTCGCTCCTTTCTTTTTAATTGGTACTGTCTACTTACACATAAAGGTGTTTAATTGGTACTGTCTACTTACACATAAAGGTGAAATTGCTTTTGTCACATTTATATATACATATAAAATGATTTTGTTAAATTTGTTCTATATTTTTCCCCTTTCTCATCCTTCCTCTCTCCCTCTGGTTCTCCACCTACTCCACTGATCTTCCCTATGTATTAATGATACCTGATTTCCCCCTGCCGCCGCTCTTTCACTTATTTTACTCTAGCTTCCACTTGAGAGAAAACATCTGACCCTTGATTTTTTTTTTTTTGAGTCTGGATTATTTTACTTAGCATGATGTTCTCTAGTTCCATCCATTTACCTGAAAATGCCAGTATTTATGGCTAAGTAAAACTTCATTGTTATACATACCATATTGTCTTGATTCATTGTCTATTGACAGGCATTGGGCTGATTCTGTATTTTGGCTACTTTTATGTCTCAATACTGAAGAGACTATATTGCTGTAGTATGCCAATTTTAGATTTTGGGGAAAAATACCAGGCAGTGGGATAGCTGGGTCATACAGTGGTTCCATCCCTCGTTTTTTTGAGGGATCTCCACACTGCTTTCCAGAGTGGTTGAATTAGTCTGCAGTCCCACCAACAATGTACAAGTGTACCTTTTTCCCCAACAATTTTACCCGAATTTATTAGTATTTGTGTTCTTGATAATGCCCATTCTGACTTAAGTGAGATAAAATCTTAGTGTAGTTTTAATTTGCCTTTCCTTGGTTGCTAGAGATGTGAACATTTTTTCATGTATTTGTTGGTTATTTGTGTTTCTTGTTTTGAAAAAACTTTAGTTATTTTGCCTTTTGGTTGGGTAATTTTTTTTTTTTTTTTTTGGTAATGAGTTTTTTGAGTTCTTGATATATTCTGGACATTAATCCCTTGTCAGAGGAGCAACTGGCAAAGATTTTCTCCCATTCTGTAGGCTCTCTCTTCATGCTTTTAATCACTTGCTTTGCTATGCATACGTTTTTTTAATTTGAGGGCATCCCACTTAACTGATTCTTGATTTTATTTCTTGAGCTTTAGGTCTTTGTGAAGAAGTGGGTGACTAATATGATGGCATATTGGCCCTATATTTTCTTCTAGCAGTTAAAAAGTTTCTGGTCTAATTCTAAATCTTTGGTTCATTTTGATTTGTCTTTTGTGCAGGATGAGAAATAGGGATCTACATAAGTCTTTACATATGATTATCCAGTTTTCCCAGCACTATTTGTTAAAATGGCTATTTTTTTTCTCCAACATCTATTTTGGGCAGCTTTGTCAAATATCAGATGGTTGTAAGTATGTGGGTTTGACTCTATGTCTTCAATTCTATTCCACTGATCTTTGTGTCTGTTTTGATTTGATTCTAATACCATTTGTATAGTGTTTCTATAAGGACAACAGTCATCTAGGTTGAGCTCCCCCCAATCTAGTAGAACCTTATCTTAACTATTTACATCTGCAAAGATCCAATCTCCAAATCATGTCACATTCTGAAGCTCTAGGTAAACATTTTGGGGGAAAATACAATTCAATCCAGTACACCCACAAATACTCCATCCTTGGGCAACCATTAATCTCTAGATTTGGCTATTGTGAACCTTATTAGCTTTTTGAATTCTGCACTCCATTGGAGGAAAGAATATCCATTTATCATAATATGATTATATTGCTTAATTTACTATGATAATTGCCTTTCTAGAATATGTACCAATGTTTAATCTATTTCAAATACAGTAGCCATTCTTTATAGGCTTTGTCCACTAACTAGAACACATTATAGTAAAGATACAGATGGGTTTGATGTAGGTTATTATGAAGTTGTTTTCCCTTAGCAATCTACATTATAATTTCTAACAAGTGACTTTTACTGCCTTGGAACCCTTCTATACAATTATCAATGTCAAGATAATAGCAAAAATACACTGTTTTGACAGGTACATTTTCTATTACTTTTTTCCCCAAAAAAGTTCCTGTTCTACAGAGTGCTGTACTTTTTAGTGGATATTTGATATGTTGGTGTTATATCCTCTGCAGTGACACAATTTTTATGACAATAATTCAATTTAGGGTAGAGAAAGATGGCATCTAGAGGTAGTGGCTTTAGCGATACCTTCCCCAGCCTGGATGCTGAGTATGAGGGCAGTGAGAATGGGCAGTGAGGTCTGAACCCAAGGCTGAAGATGCTGACACTGAAGGTCATGGTAGTAAGCCTGCTTCAGTCTCCAAAGAGAACTGCATCCATTTTTCCCATCAACAGTGGCTCAAAAAAAAAAAAGGATCCAGGAGGAATAAAACCAAGAGTCACAGGATCTTTTTGCAGGCAAGTGTGGAATCAAAATTGAACATTCTAAATGGCTTTGATAAATTGAAAAAGTTATGGGAACATACTTTATGTACAATAATATTGTGGAAGATTCCAAAACATGTAAACATAAGGCCCCTACCATCAAGATTCTTAACAGGTTTAGAGAATAATACATAAAAATACATTTTTTAAGGAACATGAGTTAAATTAATAATAGAAGTGTGGCCAAAGGAATGATGAAATATGAAATCACAGCAACTCATAGGAATATGAGACTATTGACTACAGCAATGAGTTTAGACTTTATGACCAAGACTCATGGTAAGAAATCCTTTATTAGAATCCAAAAATATATGCGTACTTATACTAAACTGAAACAAAAACTCTTCTCAAAAAAATCTAAAATTTTAAAAAAAATTATACTTCTGAAAATCACAATTTGCACATGAAAGTTTGGCATCTTACAAATTGTTGCTGGGGCTGGGGGTGTGGCTCAGTGGTAGAGCGCTTGCCTGGCCTGTGTGAGGCCCTGGGTTCAATCCTCAGCACCACATAAAAATAAAATAAAGATATTGTGTCCAACTACAACTAAATAAAATATTTTTTAAATGTTGCTAAAAAAAAAAAATAGTAATTGTGGGCTGGGGATGTGGCTCAAGCGGTAGCGCCCTCGCCTGGCATGCGTGCAGCCTGGGTTTGATCCTCCAGCACCACATACAAACAAAAGATGTTGTGTCCGCCAAAAACTAAAATATTAAATTCTTTCTCTCGAAAAAAAAAATAGTAATTGTGGCTTTTATAGACTAGTTTTCAAAAGCTTGACAGTCTCATGAACAATTTGAGTCATGAATTATCTTGATCTATTATTAACAATCAAAATGTTCCATTTACTAAACAGTTATTCAACTAAGTCTATATTCCTTTTGTCTTACATGCTGTTAGCAACAAAAATTTTGGATTTGCTGCATATGCCAAGGTAAAGAAGATACTTAGAGGAAATTTTTGCTTTTTAAGGTTGATATTATTAACATATACCAAAGACAAAATCCAGTCTACTCCATCATGGCACCAAACCATTTCTCACTAAACCTCAATAAATTGGTAATAAGAAAGGATATTTTATAGAACACATCATTCAACACTTGACAGATCTTTTAAATACCCTCTCTTCCTTGTAATGAAATATGAAATCACAGGAGCTCTTAGGAATATGAGATTACATGAGATTATTGACTACAGCAGTGGGTTTAGACTTTTATGACAATAAAAGACAAATCTGATTTTTAAAAGCTTCATTTTCATCTTTCTAATTTTCCTCCTTCCCAAGATGTCTGCAACTGATTTGGGAAAAAACAAAAAGTAGTCTGTGCCAGGAAATGTTGTTATTCTAACTAGAAAGCTTTTTGCTTTTTGAGAGTTTTACACCCTCTTAATCAAAATGTAAAAATGAGAATCAAGGTTATCTGAGTCTTACTAGGATTCTCCTGACTTTATCTTCCAACTGTTTAATTCATTCCCACTATCCATATATGATTTCCAAGAACACTTTTTTATTTATACTCATGCAATCTTTTTTATTCTAATTAGTTACACATGGCAGTAGAATAATTTTGATACATCATACATAAATGGAGTGTAACTTCTCATTCTTTGTTGTAGAATCATACCAGGCATGAAATCATATATGTATTCAGGGTAATAATGTCCAATTCATTCTATTATTATTCCTACCCCCATCCCCTTCTTTGTACCCTCTGCCTAATCCAAGGTACCTCTATTTTTCCCTACCCATCCTCTTATTGTGAATTGGCATCCACATATCAGAGAAACCATTCGGCCTTTGGTTCTGTGGGATTTTCTTATTTTGCTTAGCATAATATTCTCCAGCTCCATCCATTTACCTGCAAATGCCATGATTTCATTATTCTTTAAGGCTGAATAATATTCTATTGTGTATCCCAAGAGCACTTTCTTTTGTATTGCTCCTGTATAGAGCATGTTGTTCTTGTTTCATGTTGTACTTTGAGGATACTTTAGTTTTTTTTATGTTCTTGGAGTGTTTATTTCCTCTGATTTGTTTTCTGCATATTTGCAAATATGTGTTCTCTGACTGCATTTATATTTAAAACAGACATTTAAAATTGATGGTAATTTTTGTGTACAAGGGTGAGTACGATAATCAGTGAAGGGCTGGGGTGTGGCTCAGTGGTAGAGCACTTGCCTAATATGCACAGGGCCCTGGATTTGATTCCAAGCACTGGGGGAAAAAAATCTGTGACTATCTTGGCCTGGGCGTGTAGCTCTGTGGTAGATCATGTGCTTAGTTAGCAAGCCTGGGTTCAATTCCCAGTACCTAAAAAAGAAAAATAAACATATATGATGAGGAAATGACCAACTATTTTTGTTGGGAATCCATAACAAACCCATAGGATTTTGGGGGGGGAGGTGTTAAATACTCCATAAAATAATCTCCTTCCCCTTGGTTGGTGGGGTACAAATCTGGAAGATTTAAGCCTAGAATTTGTGGAGCTCAGACAAAAGGAATTCCAACTCACATTCAATAAGCCCTAAACCCTTTCTACTTGATATCCTGAAATCTGAAACCTCTCTTGTACCTTTTATTTATTTATTAATAAAATTTATCTTCTGTCAGAGACAATTGCCTTACAAGATGAGTTTTGTAACCAAATTCTAACCACACCATATATAGATTTTCAAAAAATCCATCCTTCTCTGGCATCCACAGTGGCTCTTAATTCCTGAGGCTTTTCAGTCTTCTCTGGGGACTTCAGTGTCCACCTTGCAGAATTTTAATTTGACCTTTTTCCTCACTTCTAAGTAATCTACTATCCACTCTTCTTCCATGTACATTCAGTCTTCATACATTGTGGTTTGAGATTATGGTTATCTCCTACTATAATCAAAGATGATGTTTTGAATTGTTTTCTTTCGATGATTTTCAGGAGTATAGGAAAGAAGTATTTTTACTCTGCCATCTTGAAACTAAAATTTTCCTTCCTATAACACTAATCTCCTGAATGCCAACAATACCCCTCATCAAACTGATTACCAAGTTCTGCAAGCCTCAGCCTTAGGCTCTCATCGTCCCACACAACACTCCACTTAAGACTATCTTAATTTTGGCTTTGTCCACCTCTCCACTTTCAAAAAGCCATTGTGCTCACCTTTGTTTTAGCTTTATCCACAATTGGTATTATTTGAGGTCTTCAATCCCAGCAAAGTCCTTACATATGCTGGCATTTTCAGGGATGAAAAGTCAGTGGCTACAGAGAAATTGGTTGATACAAGGAGATGACAAACATATTAAGAATTTTAGAAGCCAAGTTTCATACTATCAAAGAAGAAAGTTACAATGTAGGAGGAAAATAAAATTAATCCTGTGGTCTTGGATTGGAATTAGATATTACTGTATTATATAAGTGTTTTTGTATACATACACACACACACACACACACACACACACACGAAAAGTACATGCACGTCTATACATATGTATTTCCTAGTGATGCTCATAAAAGGACCTGGCAACAAAGAAATCACAATAACAATAAGCACACTTAGAGCTCAGATCTTGCTACCCCCAAAAAGGGCTCTTTGGAGAGAGGAGTGATTCCAGGACTAAAGCAGAGGTGGTGTAAAATTAATCACCCGAAATGTAAAGAAGTGCTCCAAGAACCAGGTTTTTCTTTTCCTTTGTTAAAAGGACAAAGGGGAGCTTAAAGGGGCTTCCATTGACCAAATTAAGGATGATTTGAACATCAAAATTTTTAAAATTATATTAATGGATTCTAACTCATTGAATAAAATTTGAAATCATAAGTCCATATTTATAGGAGTAAATAAAGGAATGAACTATTTGATGAGGAACCAGATTTTTATATAATTTCAAAGTACCTTCCCACAAAATTTTAATGCCAAAGAGGAAAAGAGTATATGGTGCAGCTTTCTGGCAGACATCACCTTAATTAAGTAGTAATAGTAAACACCATATATAAGGGGATAAATTGTGCACAACCTGGTAAGTGCAATGTGAAGACCACAGCATCACTTGGTAGGGGTGGGGCCGGGGGGGAGGGAAGGTATTGGGGATTGAACCCAGGAGTGTTTTACCACTGAGCACACCCTCAGTTTTTTAGTATTTATTTTCATACAAGGTCTTACCAAGATTCAGAGGATAACCTTGAACTTGTGATCCTTCTGCCTCAGCCTCCCCAGTCTCTGGGATTACAGGTGTGTGTCATAGCTCCCAGCTCCAACAGTGTCACTTTTGTGATGATCCTACCAAAATTGCATAATCTGAATGTAATCATGAGCAAACATCAAAAAAAGAAGTCCATTGATGAACTTCTACAAGACAACTAGTCTATAATCTATAAGTGTTAAGAACATGAAAATCAAGTTATGGTTCAGGAATATTCTAGATTGAGAGACTAAAAAAACTTGACTCAGGCAAGCAACAATGATTTTGAACTGGGGTTCTGGGGTTTTTTATAAGGACCTAATTGGACATATGACAAAACACGAAGCCTAAGGATTAGATAGATAGTAATAATGCATGAATATTAATGTCCTAATTTTATGACTGGGTTAACAGTTATGTAGAAGAATGCCCGTGTTTGTATGAAATATACAATAAGCATTTGGGTGATGGGCATTAGGTCTGGAACATAGTCTTGAATGGATGGGGGCAGGGAAGTTGTACTGTGTTTTGTACTGTGTTTGTCCCAGTGTTCCTACAGATCCCACTGTCCTCAAAATCCAAAGTACACAAGCAAGAGGGCGGGCTTACCCCTATATCAACTATCCTAAAACCACCAGGGACAAACCTGCAGTTAATCAAAATCATATACATTAAATCATTGCAACCAAGGAGACTGCAACCAGAGGAACTATGGGGTGTCCCACCAAACAAAGACAAGACATTTATAGGAGTTGGGGTAGAGTTGAGTTCAAATGAAGCTTAAATAAAACTTCTTCGATAGGCTGGAAACAATGCAGAACTATGTGCAAAGGCATTAACATCAAGGGTGGGCTGGAAAATAGGTGTGGGATGTTTCCTTGGAAATTGCAAAAACTATAAGGAATTTGTTTTCAGAAACCCTTATTGGAAACTGTGTACCTGTGAGGCTGCTTCTGTGTCAAAGCAATTTAGTCCTGAAGGCAAAAAAAAAAAAAAAAAATGGGATGTTTCTTTCATTATTACTGATAGAATTTCAAATAGTATCTGGATTTTAACGGGCAAGATTTCTCAGTGTGTGGAAAGGCAGCACCCACTCAAAGAACATTATGACACTTCTCAGTTCGGCTGTCCTAAAAACAAACAGTATTTCCTGTTAATGTCATAACTGGCTTTAAGGTCCACTTTCTCCCCGAGTTTTTACTTTCTGAGTGGTTACAAATGAAAAGAACGACTCCGTTTCTCAAACCACAGCTAATGGTCTCCCTTCAGCGCCCTACTGAAGTCCTTCGTTGTCATCTCTTTCCTCTCATTTCGGACGTCAAGCTTCCCTGAGGACAGAAAGTCTACGCAGCAGTCAAACTCGGCGCCCAGTGTCAGAATAAAGTTCAAGCGTCCCGCTTTCTAGGTCCGCCACCGGTGCGTCAGTACCGCTCTTTTCAAGTCCTATTGGCTAAAACCCGCGCCTCTCATCGCACTGGGGGCGGGATAAGAGGAAAAAAGGCGCGCCTTTTCCGGGCGCGAGACGCTGACGTCACAGTAGGGGACCAGTGGCTTTCCGTTGCTTGGCACTCTCTGCTCGCTGACTGGTGTTGACTGAGGACCGCTCCGTCGGCGACGCTGTAGCCATGACCATTTGTCAGTTCTTCCTTCAAGGCCGGTGCCGCTTTGGAGACCGGTGCTGGAACGAACATCCCGGCGCCCGGGGTGCGGGCGGGGGACGGCAACCACCACAGCAGCAGCCCGCAGGTGACGCTCCCCTCAATCCTCCGCCGCCAGCTGAGCCGGGAAAGGCCTGGCGTGGGGGCCCGGGCGACTGGGACCCGTCGTCCCGCGTGGGTCCCGGTGCTGGGCGTGGCGCCGCGCCGGTCAGGTGACCAGGACGTGCCCGCGTCGCGGCAGCCCCGCCCCCGCCCACCTGGCTTCGAACAGTACTGTTTGAAGTTTTCGTCCGCGACTTGGGCAAGTCGGTTTTTGTTGAGCAGATGAGGACCGGGGTTTGCCCCTGGGTGCTAGTGCCAGACAACGAATTTTTACATCAGAAGTATGTATAAAAACTACCTTGTCGGTGAATGTCAGTGGTTGGGAAAATTCAAGTGGGTTGAGCCAGATTCTTCCTTACTGCTGTTTTGTATACTTGTCTTTTCCCCTTGACACCCTGAATCCAATTTTGGTGAGCTTTTTTCCCTCCCTTGAGGTCTAGGCGAGCAACTTGAATCAGAATCAACAAGAATCAGAAGAAGGACTTCATTTGCGGAGGTTGCTAACTCTTGAAATCGGATAAAGCTGTAGGCCCATACCACAGAAAAATGCACATGCTCTTAAAATTTGGGGTGAGATTGGGAGGGTGGGATGCCTGGTTCAGAACCCTCTGGGTTATAGGGAAGAGAAGCACTTCTTTCCATTCCAGGTGACTAATTCTCCTTTAAAATTCACATCGACCTGCTCCCTGGGCCTAGGATCTTGTCAAAGCATTTGTCTATAAGGAGAAGAGGAGATTTTGTTTTCTTAAGATTGGAATTTTGTGCTTTAAAATATCAGGAGTTCCTGTTCCTTTTTACTCATCTCCTTTAGGGTTAATTTATCTGATTCTTCTGTGGGTTTCATGTCTGAGCCCTCTTGTAGAAGACAGTCCTTTTGTGTCATCCATAGTGGATCCAGTAAAATATCCAAACCAAAAATCAGGACTCAAAATCTGATAAACATGAATGTATTTTCCAAAGACAATGTGATATTCAGCAGTTTCTGGAGGCTTGCTTTAAGTGTTGTTATTAGAAAGTACATGTTGAGTGAATAGACCTTGTGGGTGAAAAAATTTGAATAAAATTCAACAGAATTGTAAAGCCCCAAATTGTGAAGATCAAATGCAACATACCAAAAGAGGAAGTGAATTTCTACAGTTGTGTGATTCCCCCAAAGGATTTGGATACCATTAACTCCTGTTTCAGGGATCTTTTTCAGCAGTCTACTCCCTTTTCTCTGTGGATTTATCAGCTAATTTAAAGTTGAGGATGAACTTTTATAACGAAATATACCTCCTGTTATTCTGGTTCTTAATATATTTAATGGCACGTTTAGAATTCTATCAAATAAGATGAATTACCTTGATCTTACCCCAGTGATAAGATTAAAGACAAAATAGAGATAGGAGAGAGTCTTGTTAGTTTATTTTGATACTTATGAACTCAATGCACTTTATTCATATGTCAGTTACCCATAAAATATGTCTATAAAAGGTAGATATGAAGGTGTATTTTCCCAGAGGGAAGACTGAGTTGAATAAACATCTATTCAAGGATAGAGCATAGAATTTAATCTTTTATTCTTTGTCCAGTTTATTCATTGCTCTGGTTAATTGTCAGTTTTTTAGCCTTTTCTTCTGTATAAGGCCTAGTGGGGGAGCAAAGAATGATAAAAACACAGCTTTTTATCCTGAAGGACCTTATGATTTAAGGTGTCAAATAGCAATTAGACCATATGTGATTTGTTACTACACCTAACTGCAAATTGGAAATGAAGAGATTATCATTTGAAACAAGTGGAAATGTAGTACTTTGTTAAACCTTTGTGTAATCCCTAGACATAATAAAACAAAATATAATAAAGATTTTCAGGATTTAATAGAGAAGTTGATAATAAAATTATTCTTGTATTTTTATATTTGTTTTAGGTAATAATAGGCGTGGATGGAATGCCACCAGTCAGAGATATTCCAGTGTCATCCAGCCATCCAGTTTCTCCAAATCCACACCATGGGGGGGCAGCAGAGATCAAGAAAAGCCATCTTTTGGTTCTTTTGATTCTGAAGCTTCAACTAGCAGGAACAGGGGCTTTGGATTTTCTGAGAACCCATTTGCTTCACCTAACTCTGATGAGCAGACAGATGAAAAGAAACTTCTGTAAGTGAAAGCCTTAAGGGAAATCACTTCCCATTTGCTTATTTTTTTTCCAAAGCACCTATAGGGTTTTTGTTTTTTTTTTTAAAAGAAGGTAATCTGTTACTAAATCAAAGTAATCAAAAACAAAACAAAAATCTTTCATGATCCTATCATTCAGAGCTAACCATTAATTTGTTTTATAACATTCTGTGCTTTATTTTACTGAAAAATATATTTCCATAGCATACCTAAGATTAGTCCTGCATAAGGTCATTGTAAATTATGAGTGTTTTACAAAACAACTTGTAATTTTGAAAGTCACTGATAGCATCACTTATTCTTGTTTCTAAAACTTTTACTTCAGTTAACCCTGTTCAGACTGACTTCATTCATTTTGTGTGTAGTATATTCATGACATTTCTTAAGAACATATACAGTAAAATTATGACTGGTGCCCAAATAGTATTTGGCTGTCTATAACATTTCCTTAGCTCCTGGCTCCTAAGACAAAATTTCTGTATAATGGTTAATCTTTTATTTCCCATAACCAAATTAGAATCAGTAGTAAATATTTTGAGCCATATAAATTATACAGTTGTTTTGCAGTGCCAGGGATTAAACAGAAGGCCTTGTACATTGCTAATAAATATCAGGGGCTTTTTAAGTAAAAAAAACAACAAAACTCTCTTATATTTGTTGTAATCCTAAATTTATAACAGTATTCTCCATGAAATCTATCATTTTATTAATTGTTGCATTCTGGGTGGGGAGAAACTTGGAATCAGTTAAGTGGTAATTTCTTATGTTCCCAGCTAAGTGATCAATGATGTTTATGATAATAAACAGACATTAAAGTTAGTATTGTGTATTTTAGTATATTTTTGTTCTTTAAAAGAACGTGTGGCATTTATAATATATAATTAAGTATATTGGCTAATGATTTACTAATTGGAAAACAAAATTATTAATTTCTCTGTATTATTTATAATCACAAAATATAATTTATATTTCTATCAGCTTGTGCTTTAAAGAAAATTCATCAGGAAATAACTGGAAAAATCTAAATTATGTATTTTACAACAATTTAAAATTTCAATTATTGAAAATCACAAGCAATAAATTTTAACAAATAGTTGAAAAAATCCTTTACTTTTTTTTTTCCCCAGGGAAGGAATTGTGAAAGATATGGAAGTTTGGAAATCATCAGGACAGTGGATGTTTTCAGTTTATTCACCAGTGAAAAAGAAACCTAATATTTCAGGTAACTAAGACATTGTATTTATGTGTTTTTGTGTTTTATTTGTTTCATTGTTGTTTGGGTTTTTGTTTGGTTGGTTTTTTGCAGTGCTGGGGAATGATCCCAGGGCCTCATACATGCTAGGCAAGCGCTCTACCACTCATTTTACACCCTTTAGCCCGGAAACTCTGTGTGTGTGTGTGTGTGGGTTGTGTTTGTTTATTTGTTTTGGTACTGGGGATTTAACTCCAGTTAAATAGTGGGTTGAATGGTGGGTATTCAACCACTCAGTTGCTTAGCGCCTCTCCATTGCTGAGGCTGGCTTTGAACTCATAATCCTCCTGCCTCGGCCTCCTGAGCTGCTGGGATTACAGGCATGCACCACCTCACCCAGCTCAAAATTGTGTTTTTAAAATACACTCTAAAACTTATTTTCTAGTTGAGCATTATGATATATTCCTGTACTCCCAGAAACTCAAGAGACTGAGGCAGGAGGATGGCAAATTTAAGACCAGTTGAGGCAACTTAGTGAGACTCTATCTCAAAATTTTAAAAAAAGGGCTGGTTCGGGATATGTAGCTCAGGGAGAAGTACTCCTGGGTTCTATACCCATTACTGCAAATAATAAATAAATAAAACTTACTTTCTAAAACAAAGATCATGAATTCATGACAAACAGCTGCTTATAGGAGAGTTGGACATTGTCTAAAGTATCCAAGTATTCTAAATTAATAATTTATAGAGATTGCAATTGGAGAATGTAGGTTCCTTTAAGATACATAATTCCTATGAGAAACATAGTCATATTGGGACCCACAACAATTCCAATACCATAAACCTACAAAAAGGCTTTGTATTCTTGATTCCCTTATGCAAAACCCAGAACCTCCTTGCTGCCTGCAGTGAATAATAGTCACAAGTCACACATTCTACCTGCCATTAAGGCCTTTGATGCCTAGCTTTGTTCTTTATTCTCACTTTTCTAAGAATACTTATTTTTCATAAAGCATGTTGAGATCTTATTCTACAAGGCTAGCATTTCTTTTAAATTACCCATTTTCCATTTTCTTTTGTCCAGAATCCCTAAACGCTTTCTGGCTTAAAACCTAGACCACCAGGTTTTCCCAAAGGTCCTGGGCCTTTGCCTGTTGAGGAAGCAGATACTCAGCAGATAGGAGACCTTAGAATCAGTGCCCCAGAATTATGAGAATCTTCCTTCATTCTTTCAGTCTGCCTCCTCTTTCTCTGAGAATTGGTATCACAGCACTACTTATTTATTCTCTTATTATTCATTTAGCAAATATTGAATTCCTTTTATGCCAGGCCCTATTCTAGGGTAGATGATATATAGCGATAAGTAAAGCAAATGAGTTATGGAATTTTATATATATATATAAAAAAATCAGGGATTGAACCCAAGGGCACTTAGCCATTGAGCCACATCCCCAGCCCTTTTTATTTTTTAATTTTGAGACAGGTCTCACTAGATTGCTTGCAGCCTCACTAAGTTACTGAGGCTGACTACAAACCTGCAATCCTCCTCCCTCAGCCTCCTGAGCCACTGGAATTATAGGCATGTGCTACCACACCCATCATGAAACTTATATTCTTGAGAAAGTGTTTTAGTCAGCTTTTGCATCACTGTGACTATAATATCTGACAGTAACACTTGGAGGAAGAAACATTTATTTGGGGTTCATGGTTTCAAAGATTTCAGTCTATAGATGGCCAACTCGATTGCTCTGGGCCCAAGATGAAGCAGCATATCGTAGGGAGGGTTGCGTTGGAGGGAAGCTGCTCTCCTCCTGGCAGCCAAAAAGTGGGGGATAATGGAGCCAGAAGATGAAGAGCCCTTCCAGGGCACGCCCTCAGTGACCCATCTCTAGCTATGCTCCACCTGCCTACAGTTACTACCCAGTCATCAGTTCATTCAAAATAGGATGCACTGATTAGATAAAATAATTATTTTATCTGTGAATATTCCTGCATTAACAGGAGCTTTTGGGGACACCTCATATTCATATAACAGGAAAGAATACAAGAAGGAATGCAAATAAGTAGCATAATTTCAGATAGTGAATATAGTCTGTAAAGAAAATAATAAAATCAAGCCTTTAATCAGACTAAATATTAATACTTGTACATTAAGTCTTAATCAGTTCAGAATTAAACCTAGTGCCTAATGCCCTAAAAGCAGTAGTTCTCAAAATGAGGCATATGGATCCTTGAAGAGAGTTCCCATATAAAATATAAGACATACAGTTGAATTTAAGTTTCAAATAAACAATAATATTTTTATACATGTATAATATGTATTTGTTTTATATAATTTATACATATCATATGTGTACACATATACATATAACAATATAATATATGGGACATACTCATACTAAAAAAGTATTTGTTAAATCAGGCAACCTATCCTATAGACCCCTTTATAGGCTGTGTAAGTGCAAAATAATTTTAAGAAATTAATTGGCATTTTCACTGTGTTGACATTTGTACTGTTGGTGCAAACTGATGAGTAAAACCAATACACTTATATTTTAGCATGAATCAAGGCAGAGATGACGAACTACTAGTTGACTTTAGTAATCACAATAAAGAAAATTTTTAAATGCCATTTTAATTTAAGAATGTCCTTAATAAAAGAGATAAAAATTACTCATTTTATTAATTCTTAATACTTGCGTATACACTTCAAATATTCTGTATGACAAAATGGGAAACACATAAAATGCTTCTGCCCCGCTCTCAAATGTGACATTTATCTTGAGGGGAGGACATTTGTGTGATCAAGTTGTGAGATGAGATAGTCACTTTTTAAAGACATTTTTACTGGAAAGAATGACAGCTATGGTTATTCAGACATATGTATTTGGCAAATATATCCTAAAGTATTGATTAAAGTAAGTAAATGCAGTAAGCCTGTAACTTCAAAGAAAACAACTGACAGTTTCATCAGTGATAAAATTCAACTTTTTATGCAAAAATTAGAATTATAGAAAACTTCTTCTCTCACCTCAGTAATGGCTTGTTAGTACTCAGCATACTTCTGGTAAAATGGATGGCAGCATTAACAAATGTGAGTTTTTAAAATATTATATAATGATATGTACCAATATTTGAACATAACTCATTGTACCAGTACTTTCCAAATAACTAATGTGTAATGTTAAAAAAAATTATGTATGACTAAAAATCTTTTCTAAAAACAAGATAAACCAATGGATTTTTAATATGATAGTCCAAAAAGCTCATTAGGACAGAGTCCCCATTACAACTATCTTTTAAGAAACAACCACTTAAGGCTGGGGCTGTAGCTCAGGGGCAGAGCAATTGCCTATGATAAGTGAGGCATTGGGTTCAAGTCTTAGCATCACATAAAAAAGTAAATAAAGGTGTGCTGTCCATCTACAACTACAAAAAAAAAAAATTAAAGAACAACAACAACAAAAAAAAACAGCCATTTGCCAAATTTTGGTGTGTCAAGTCAAAGAAAAATGTCCACAATTATCTGAAAAAGCCATTCAAGTCTTCCTTTTCCGGTAACAAATCTATGTGAATATTTTTTTCGTATACTTCAACCATATTACGACCATAATCACCAGCAACAGAATGAAGTAGAAGCATATTTAAGAATCTCTGAAGCCAAACATTGAAGAGATTTGCAAACAAAATAGTGCTATTTGTTCACTAATTTTCTTTGATGGAAAATAAATGTATGTGATACAAGATTAATTATTTTTAAATGAATTAATATTTCTAAATTTCTGTTTTTATTTCAAATGTGGTGTAATTATCCATATATATATATATATATATGTGTGTGTGTGTGTGTGTGTGTGTGTGTGTATACACACACACACACACACAAACAAACAAGAGCTTTCTGGTATCCTTAATGATTTTTAAGAATATAAATGGGTCCTGAGACCAAAAAATTGGAGTTCTGCTGTCCTTAGGCATCCATTATAAATAATGAATTAGCTAAGTGCAGTGTCACATTCTTGTTATCATAGAAACTTGGGAAACTGAGGCAGGAGAATCATTAAGTTTGAGTACAGCCTGGGCAACTTAACTGACCCTGACTCAAAATAAAAAGGTCTGGACAAATGTATGAAATGTCAAGATTATTGTACTGTCATGTGTAACTAATAAAAATAAATAAATAAAATTTAAAAAAATGAAAAGGGCTGGAGATATAGCTCAGTGATAAAGTACTCCTGGGATTAATCTGCAGTATTGCAAAAGGGATGGAAGGAACTTTTTCTATGTATCTAGAATAATACTCTTTTTGTACCACCATTGAAAAACTAAGAAAATAGTAAGATCATTTCTGTGTTCTGTGGTTCACACTGGTTGAGCATGGCTGGAAAGAATAGCAGGGAAAGTATTCCTTTAGATAGAGTGGCTATCCATTCTTACCAGTGCAATATTGGGGCTGAGCCCTGAATGAAGAAAAGGTACCCATTATAGGAAAATTGGGGGAAAACATTCCTGGCAATGCAGAGATAGGAGTGGAAACAAGATTGGCACACTAAATGAGGCCCGGCACACTAAATGAGGCCCGAATCATGGGAGAATAAACAAGGGAAAGAGTAACAAACATAAAACCAGGTAGCCAAGGCCAGGTGATGGACAGCCATGAAGACCTTTAAGCAGAAGACAGGTATGGTCTAATTGAAAAAGCTCACTGAGGCTACTATATGAAAAATGTCGTTTGTTGGGAGTAGGGACAGAAGTAGAGGCAGAGAAGCAAATTAGGAGATAATTGCAGCTGAAGAGTAGAGTTATTAGCAGTAGAGATTCAAGTTCTGTTTTAGAGCCTCAACTGGCAGGTTGTTGAATATGAGATATGGGTAAAGAGAGAAATCCGATGATTCCTAGGTTTTTTTTGGCTGGGGTAGATGATGTTAATGATATCTGGATTGCAAGGAGTTTTATTGGTGTAGAAAACTTGGGAAGTACAAAAATATATAAATAAAATCATCTGAAGTCACAAAAGGTAACAACTGAAACATTTTAGTATATTTTCTTCAAAACATATACATATGCAAACATATATTTCATGTGTGTGATTTAGGATCATAATTATCTAGTCTTGTACTATACTTTTATTTTTTGTCTTTGTTCTGTGTTTTGAACCCAGACTATTGCATGTGCTAGATGCTAGGCAAGTGCCCCTCCCTGAGCTTAAGTATTCTAAGTTTTTGTTTTGTCTCTACTACTAGAAACACTGGAATGAACATCCTTATACATACATTTTTGTTTACATATAAAACTGTTTCCTGAAGTTAAATCCTAGATATTTGTATTACATGTCAGAGATTGTGAACATTATTAAAGCTTGTGATGATTATTGAGAATTTTCCCCCAGAAAAGTTGTTCCATTTTAATTCCCTTAACAGCATTTTGGGAGAATATTCACATCTTAAATTATTTAACAGTAAATATCTTCTATTTTTAATTTTTGCCAGTTCTATAAGTAAACTATTTTATCTCTGGTTTAACATGTAATTTAAAATTTAACTTTATTTATTTCCTGGCTATTTGAACTTTTTGTGAGTTACTTGTTCTTTCTTTGCCCATATTAACTTTTTTTATTGATTTATAAGATCTACTTACACATTAAGGATGTTAGCTCTTCACCTGTCATATATGTTGCAATATCGTTTTCTTATTTACCATTTGCCTTTTAGTTTTATTTATTGTAGTCTAACAAAATTTTTTAGACTAAAGTTTGAATGTATATATAGTCAGATCTTTGTTTTCTTTCCACTCATATTTAGAAAATTTCTCTCCCCTCAAAAGATCAAATAACTATTTTATTCTAATTTTATACTTTACTAAACATTAAATAGAACATAAACTGAATTCTTTTCCTTATGATTATGAAAATTTTCTGATAATTGACTTTTAACATTTTCTTGTCTAGTACCTCTAGCTTTACTATTAAAATTATTGATATTTATTTTAAATATTCGAATTGATTCCTCACTTCAGGTTTTACAGACATTTCACCAGAGGAGTTGAGGCTTGAATACCATAACTTCTTAGCCAGCAATAACTTACAGAGTTATGTAAGTCTGTTTCCTATTCATCTACCTCAATAATAAATTGGTGTCAATTACTGTTTTCAATGTCTATAGTGGCTTGATTGTGTTTTGGGAAAGTTATGGAAACCAGTTTTTTTTATAGGAAAGCCTTTTTTCCCCCCGTCCTAAATTTTTTTCTTTGAAATTGGTTGGTTATCTAAGATGATAATAGTATATGTGAATACAGTAATTAAGAATATTATGGTGTTTATTATAAGTCACCCAGCATTCATTCTCAGAAATCAGACCTTTTCATCAATTGACAATACATTGGTTGAGCATCTATTAGGTGTAGATACCATGATGAATGTTAGAAAAACAAAGTTAAGAAGCCATCTATTAAGTTGGGTCAATAGAATAGACTGAGTTGGGAACCTGGAAGAAAATGGTATGTTTTTCTATTGTTGACAGTTATGATCATGCATTTCAACTAGTACATTTATTCACCTCATCTCCAAATATAACTAACTCTGAGTTACCAGGTACTTGTGATTAATCAAGTAACACAAGGAGTTGGAGATCAGGGAGGGGCAACTATAGTTTGAATATCTTTGGCAAATAGGAACAAGTCAATGCAGATTTTTATAAATTAGGCACCATAAAACTTTTGTGAAGTTGTTATTGAAGAAATTGATTTAAACACTTGAGTTACTACGTTTCTGTCTTCTCTCCTCAGCTAAATTCCATCCAACAGTTAATAAGTCAGTGGAGTAATAGGATAAATGAACTGAAAAGTCTAACTTCCTCAACGAAAGTAGCTTTGGTGAGTATTTCTTTAGAGAAATATCTTAATCACTTTTTTGTAGAGGATATTTCACTTTGGATTTGGAAAGCAAAACAAAATGTCAAGAATTATGATACACATTCTTAAGATGATATTTAGAGTCAGGGTGCTGGAATTGTTTTTTTCTATGTTTCTCAGAAAAGCAGGGATAATTATGCTTTTTTAAAAAAAAATAATTTTAGGTAGTTTTTGATAGTACTAGTTTTGAAAATTGGGAAATATTACATAAATTTAAGTATTTAAGGTTATCTGTTTTAAAAGAAATTACATTGGAAATGATATAAATGCATATTCAGACTAATGTATACTTCTGGGACTAAAGGACCTTGATCATAGATAGGTTCCTTGTAGGCAGAAATGCCTTTAGAACATATATACCCACTTTTCTCCAAAGGTACAGGGTCCTGACTGGACTCTTAGTTGCAAGCTAATTTCTTGTACCTTTCAGTTATTATAATGACATTTGAATTTTAGTGGGACTTCTAATAAGTATTCTGTCTGTGAGAATGAACCACCATCACTATTGATGAGAAGTGATGGAGAAAAAGATACTTGAGTCCAAGGAACTGCAGAACTTCTCTCAGGGTGGGGAGTTTCCCTTTCTTTGCTAACTTCCTAGGGTCCTTCATAGTTGATTTGGTTACAATCCATCCTCAACTGGCTTAATAGTTTATCACTTCTTTTTCTCATGAGTAGTAGAGACCAAAAAAAGGAAAAAAGTACATACTGTATGATTTGTTTTTATGAAATAAAAAAGACACATCTCTTCTATAGTGACAAGCAGATGAGTGGTTGTCTGGAACCAGGAGTTAGGAAAGGGTTGACTGAGAAGGGAAAAAGGGGACTTTTAGGGATAACAATAATGTTCTGAATTTTGATTATAGAAGCGGTTACAAGATTGTCAGAACTCATGGAAATATTTACATAAAATGAGTATATTTTATTTTATGTAAATTAGACCTCAATAAAGTTAAATTTTTTAAAATGCTATTGAGGCTTCCAAATGAGAGAAATTATATTTGCTTACTTTGATTAGGAACATCTTGGAAGTCGTCTGAAAAGTTTCTTGAAAAGGAAATTAAGAAATTATTATTTAGCAGTTAAAACTGCATGGTGGCACACACCTGTAATCCTAGCAACTCAGGGGCCTAAGACAGGAAGAATGCATGTTCAAGGCCAGCCTGGGCAACTTACTGAGACCCTGTCTGAAAATAAAATTTTAGAAAGACCTGGGGATGTAGCTCAGTAGTAGAGCAACTGTGATTTTAATCCCCAGTTCTACAAAAGAAAAAGAGAAGAGAAAAGGGAAAAAAGATGTCAGTGGAGTTGAAAGAGCATAAAATATTTTTAGGGAAGAAGAAATATTCAGTGGATTTTAGTGGTAAGCTTTTAATAATATAATTGTGGATTCAGTTCAAGCATTGGAGTAGACTGAATATCCTCTAAAGGTTGTTTGTATCTACATTTATATTTCTTGATAAATGTAGAATCCAATCTTATAGAGAGTAAAATGTATTATTAAACATTATTTTCTGATTGGCATATGTGCTCATTGCTGATATCTAGAAAGTAATTTTAAAAGCATATAATTTTTTAAATCATAATTTCTCAGCCAGAGACAGTCACTTAACTTTTTGGGGTTTTGTTGTTGTTGTTGTTGTTTTGAGTGTGCTAGAAATTGAACCCAGAGCCTTGCACTTCCTAGGCAAATGCTCAACCATTTAGCTAAATTCCCAGCCCCTATTATTGATTTATTAATGTACTTTTTTTCTATGCATATTTGTATTTTTAGTTTATAGTATACTTTATACAATATTACATCTTACCCTTTTGAACATCCCTTTATGGGCATTTTACATGTTAAACATTTAACTTCACACTTTTAAATATACATTTCAAAAATTTAATTTGACTATTAAGTGTATAGAAAAGGTAATTGAGAACTATTCATCAAGCACCTTATGTTTGCATACTCTTTTTAAGCTCTCTGATGATGGAGTAAATCAAGCAGCACCTACTTTTGGATTTGGAAGTAGGCCAGCAGGAACATTTGGATCACCAGGTAAGTGATGAAGTAATGCTGGACTTCACTCAATCAGAAAAGTAGAATTTTGTAGGTTTCAAATGAAAAAGCCTGAATTATCATTTTAAATCACCCTTGCCAGAGAGAGGAAAACTTCAAAGAGAGATTTTGGTTTTTTCACATTCCAGAATTTGTGATCATAATTATATTTTGCTTTGTATTCACAGTTATGCATTCTTAAGCTGGAACCAAAAATTGGTTCATTCTGCTTCTTGCAAGTCATCTCTGCTAATAAATTATAAGAAGCAAGGATAACTAATTAGGGAAAATATTTTATTTGGGTGGTTTCTGTAAACAAGGGACTATAATTCTTGTGCATTATTTTTCATCTTTGCTGTTTCTTTAAGCAGTCTAATGTGCCATGAAATTATTTTAAGTTTTTTTTTTTCTATGAGAATTGTTTTTAAAGTGTTCTCTTTGGATTAATTGTAGATATATTTCAAAATATTACTGATTTTTAAGTCTGAATACTGACCTGACAAGCAAGTATTTAAACTCCACTCTGGATGGTAGGGTGGTTATCAATGAAAGTTGTATGACTTATATTTCTGTGCCATCAAATATAGGTAACAAAATCAATTGGGCGATTCTGCTATTTGAATTTCAACTATTGGCCGCTTTGGCCCTAAATAAAAGGGTTACTTTAAGTTGATTATTTTATTAATACATCCTAATTTCTAAAAGTTTGGTTGAATATTTTTTCTTAAGTAATTGTTTATAAAATAAAAACTGGAAGTTTTTTTAAATAAATAAATCACCCTTGCCAATTCTGCCACCTACCATGATGGAGCCTCAGAGATCTTGGCTCATCAAGCATTTATGAAAGAGGCCAGAATGGGCATATTCTTTGAAAGACACTACAGCTTAGGCTTTAGTTCATTTTAGGAATGTTTCTCAAGAGTTTCACAGGAATACATATCTATGATAGCAGTACCTTGGAGAACATTTTTGTCACTGCATAGCTGTCAAGTGACAATTCAGGTAAGACAGAGTGGCACACCAAAAGTGGAAAGGCCACTGCCTGGTCCCTGAGATTTCTCTAGGGTGAAGGTAAATCACAGTAGCAAAAATATCGGGAAAATAGGGTTCAGTGCATTTGTCCTAACCTCTCATTTTCACTTTTTTCTTTTTCTGTTTTTCGTAGGTTTTCCAGTGAATAATAGCAGCAGTGATAATGCTCAGAATTTTAGTTTTAAAACAACCCCTGGATTTGTCACTGCCTCTTCTGGAAGCCCTTCAGTGTTCGGGAGTCCTCTAACATTTGGTGCTGTACCCTCTGCCAGTTCAGCCACCTCTACTTCCACTCCAACTTTTGGATTTGGGAAGCCTGAAATTACATCTGCTGTTTCATTTTCATTTAAAAGTCCTTCAGCTTCCAGTTTTGGATCACCTGGATTTTCAGGATTTCCAGCTTCCTTGGCAGCGGGTCCTGTTGGAGCTCCAGTGGCCTCAGCCTTTGGAAACACCAGTTCTATGGCTGGTTTTGGTAGTCCCAGCTCACATTCTTACACTGCCTTTTCCAAGCCATCTAATGACATCTTTGGAGATAGCAACATATCCACCTCTCTCCCATTCTCAAATGTCATCGTCACCACAGATAATGTGTTATTCACACCCAAGGATCAATTAACAGTAGAAGAACTAGAACAATTTCAGTCTAAGAAATTTATCCTGGGAAAAATTCCATTAAAGCCACCACCTGTGGAGCTTCTAAATATTTAAAAGGGCAATTTTAAATACAGAAAAGAACGGCTTTTAAATAAGAGGTTTTTGTTTCTGTTTTTGCAGTGCTGGATTTGAACCTGGGGCCTGTGTTTACTAAGCAAGCACTTTTCACTGTGCCATACTCCCAGCCTTATAATGGCTTTTGAACTTGTCTTGAGTGGTTCACATAAAAGAGCATACATACACACACACAGAAACACACACACACACATTTTTGAGGAATGTAAGCTTCAATAATACTTTAGGGATTTTAAAGTTTGACATATATCCCAAACTATAAATAAGTAAATACACAACAAGCAAGGGAATTTGAACAGTGGTGGGAGCATGATTATGAACTGAAAAAAAATATGGTACTGAATAATCTCATTCTATTTCACTTTATTGTCTCTTACCCTTTAAAGTTGTGTGTGTGTGTGTGCGCGCGCGTGTATGTGTGTGCCTAGGGATCAAACCCAAGGCTAGACCTTTTATCTGTTCATCCCTCCCTAGGCTTCCAATTCCTTTTCTCTTACCCTCAGTGGGGTAAGAGAAAAGAGTTCAGAAACAAGACTAGGATGTTCCAGCTGGATTGACGTGGCTGCCTTCTTTACTCCAAGCTCCATTCTTTCAATTTTGCCTTTCCACTTTTATCTCCTTTAACAAAGGGATAATTGAAAATCTTCAAAAAGTGAGGGAATCTTTTTAAGAAGAATGCTTTAAAGTATGAGAAAAATAATAATTTAATATTTGAAGGGAAAGAAAAAGTCATTACAGAAGAAACTCAAAAGGTCCAAAACTTCTTTAATACTCATGAAGGGCAAATTAAAAAAATGCCACATCATGTTCATCCACCTGATAAAAAGACAACAAATATTGGTGAAGGTGTAATATTGTAGAAATTCATGCTATTGATGGAAGTGTAGATTGTTGCAAATACTTAAAAAAGAGCAGTCTGGCAGCATCTAATAACGTTGAAGGTGTACAACCTCTACAGCTTAGCAGTTCTACTTCTATGCAAGACCTTCCTCCTCAAAGTGTGGTCCTAGGACTAGCAGCATCAACACCACATGGGAAATTAATACATATATGCAAAAAGCCAGGTCTCACCCCAAATTCAATGAATCAGAAACTGCTCTTTCGAAAAGACTCAAGTGATTTGTATGCACATGGATATATGAGAAGTTTGTGTACATAAACAAGGACATGTATAAAAATGTACATAATATTGTTTATAGCAGCAAATGAAATGAAAGCAACAAGAAGTCCCTTCACAGAATAGCAGATAAACTGGTATGATGGTGGGCTGCATCTGCATAGCTCGTGACAAGTATAAACAACCAAAATGAGGCAGATGAGAATTATATGTGTGATGTAGTATTTAAAATTGCAAGTTATATTGCTTATGGATACAACATAGGAATAGAAACATGGGAATAATAGGCTCCAAATTCAAAATAGTATTTACCTTGGTTAGAGTAAGAAAATGAATGGGATCTGAGTGGTATAGACAGGAAGCTTTATGTGTGATATTTTTAAAATGTGACTTAAAGCTTTATATGACTATGGTAAAATTTAACAGTGGATGACAAGTACATAGTTACAATTGTTATTTCCTGTACTTTTCCATATGCCTGAAATAGGTCCTTAAATGTTCAAAGATTTTAGAAAACACAAAAGAATGCCTTTTTTCACCCTAAATTGTGTATTAAGTAACTTTCTGATTCCTAAAGTGATCACTGTGAATTGGCTGGTTTGTCAAATTTTGTTGAAGTCTGTTGGATTAAACATGCCACCCTGATAAACCTTGTTCAAATACTGAAGCCCAGAAGCAGAACTGCTCTGGACAACATTTGAGTATAGCCAGTTAAATTTTAGAGTACACATTCGAGTATTTGTGAACAAAATGAAAATTATATCTGATGAACTGTGTAAGGGTTTGTATTTGTTTCAGTACACCAGACAAGGAAGATAATCTAGAATCAGTATGTTAAATGTGACCTTGAGGCTGTTATCAGCCACATGTCCTCAAGCAACTGGAAATCTAGCCTTGTTTCCTTGGTCCTTGATCACTTAAATGGCATTCACTTCCCACAACATTGAAGCAGAAGAGTAGGGTAATTTTTCTGGTGATGCCTTTGTCACATTTGAGCTTTTTCCATTTGGAAACCTATTTGAAACTATTTCTCCTATGACTCACATCTCCCCTCCACCACAAAAAAAAAAAAAATTCTTACTTGATTTATCTAATATTTCAGAATCTGCTCAACTGAGACATTTTACATAATTCAGTAGATTCAACATATGTCTTATGTAAGAGACAGATGGTTTGCTTTATTTATTATTGGTACTGGCAATTTAACCCAGGGGTGCTTTACCACTGAGTCATACCCCCAACACTTTTTATTTTGACACTCTCATTAGGTTGCTTAGGGCTTCACTGAGTTGCTGGGGCTGCCTTCAAACTTGAGCTCCTCCTACTTCCTCTCCTGAGTTGCTGGGATTACAGGTATATGTTTGATTTATTGGATTATTACTCATCATTATTAAGGACCCATCAAATCTAAGTACTATGCTAAGGATTCAATCCTACTAAGCACCTATGAGAAGTCTCAAAAGGGTCAAGTTTCTCCAGGAGCTCATCACCAAAGATAAAGATAAACCAAAAAAAATGTACAGATTCAAACAACATGTACAAAGGGATCTAAAGGAGTACTTCAAAGTGCCAAGATGTGTTGTTAATGGAGTCATGAGGGGCCATCAGCTTGTAGTAACTTCACAGAGGAAATGAATTTTAGTAGCTTTGATAGAGAAGTAAAACCATATTGGAAAGGAGAAATAGCCAGAAGGTGCTGGGAATGCAAGTCAGAATCTCATACATGATAAGCAAGCACTCTATCACTGAGCTACATCCCCAGCCAGGAATTGAGCTAAATAGAGGTAAGATAAGCTGGTGAAGAGTTTGAAAACTCTTAATTTCCTTAAGAAATTTTTATTAGCTGGGTGAAATTGGGCAAGTTAATATCTACCACCCAGTGATTGTATGAAGATTAAATGAAAAAAAAATGAATGTAAAGTGCTTAGTAGAGAGATGCTCCATAATGTCATCATTGATCCAAATAATACTTTATAGAGAATTCAAATCATAGAAATGCATAAAATAAAAATTACAGTCTACCTTCTCAATTCACATTGTCTCTAACCTTTTGGTGTACATTTTCCAGTGTTTATATGCAATAATTATCAACATATTTTGCATCTTGACAATATCTTGAAGAATTTTCCCCGTCAGCATGGAGAGATTTACCTCACAGTATTCCATTGTATGTCCATTAATTAATTTAGCCATATTCCTAGTTATGGGCCAACAATGCTTCAATAGGACATCCTAGAACATATATCTTTTTACTATTGTGAGAATGTTTTATAAGTGAAAATGCTGAGTTGAAAAGTATAAATATTTTAAGTTTTAGTATATTTTGTTAAATTGTTTCCATTCTTCCTATAGTGTAGGTCCTCAAAGGAGAGCAGGTGGCAATGGGTTTATTGTAATTGAAAAAAAAAAATATATATATATATATATCAATAAGATCTATAGAGATTGATCAGCAATGTTTCCATTAGTCCTTTTCAGTCCCCTGGACCAGTACCACATGGACATTGCTTTGGATTGTGAGCACTTTTTTCATCAAAACCAGAGAGAGTTACATAGGCAGGACTTTTCTTTGCTCGGAAAACATCACCAGGCCAGTTTTTGTAATGTTTAATGGTATTGAACATACAAATCTGTCATTGCCACAGAGATGAATCTCCTCAAAGTGGGAAAAATTATTGGCAGGAAACACAACAGTGGATAGAGGTAACTCTAAAAGACAACACAGTTTTCTAACTGAAAACAGGTTCTAACAAGCCAAACTTGAGAACAAAATGGGTAAAAGCTGTAACAGGGAAAAGAAAACTGAATGAGAGAATAGGGAACTATGTCGAAATGTTTCAGCCACCATCTCACCTTTCACTTATTTGTTTATTTTAGACTGTTGGTCCATCACTACAACTATTCTTTTGAAATATTGTGATTCCTCTTTCCCCTCTTCTTTCAAGCACTTGTCTGGCCAGCTACAGCCCTGAGGGGCTGTCTCCTAGCCCAGCACACATGTGGAGTAAAATGCTCTGGAGGAAGCTGAGGTCAGGACCTGAGTCTCAGAAGCACTGCCCAGCACTCCACAAGCTCCTCCCATGGGCTCAGCCTCTGCCCCACTATAGCTATCCCATACCTTTCAACTGTCTTCTCTCTCTGGAAAGGCCCTACCTCTTTTTTCACAGAGAAAATAGATGTTACCAATGGCATTGGCCACTGTCATCTGCAATCCAAGCCAGCCCCCCATATTTGTTAGATTTGAGAGATTTACCTCACAGTATTCCATCTCTTCTTGCATCCCTGGTCTCCATGAAGTTTTCCATCTTCCTGCATCCCCTGGTCTCCATGAAGTCTCCCACAAAGATTCACATAGGCTATAGCATCTCCTTGCTAGGAAGAAACAAATGCTCTTGTACTCATTTTCCAAAGCCTGGACCACCCTTGCTCCCTGCTTCCTTTAATGGCCACACTATATGTTGGTTTTGCTTGATCACTCTCCTCCCCGACCTAGTTATACCTCTGTCAGCCTATTTCAATTTGTCTCCCACCCCTCATCCCATGGGAACCATTCTTGCTAAGGTCTTAGTGTCAGCAAGCCCTCTTCAGAATCCCTTTTCAAGCTGACAGTATCCTTGTGGCAGCTCCAGTTACTTCATCTTCTCAGAGTCAGTCAATCTCTTTCTCTGGGTTCCCAGTGAAATTTCCACTTCCTCTTACTGGCTGTGATTAGGACTAGAGGCCCTAGTGGATTAGTCATGTATCTAGGGGAATATGATGCTGCGGTTGGGTTGGGCTACAGAGCCCTGCCTGAAGGGCTGAGATTGGAATAAGAGTGAGTCTCTCAAAAAATCCAGGTTCTATTAAAAAGAGAGAAAAAATTAAGGATGAGCCAATAGAAGAATAACACATATCTTACTATCATTTACATGCCAGCCTACATTTATTGATCTTTGTGTATCTCAATCTCTTAACAGTCTTCTACACAGCTATGTTTGTCAGTTCATTGCTATAACCAAAATATCTGACAAGAATAATGTAGAGGAGAAAAGGTTTATCTTGCCTTATGATTTCAGAGGTTTCAGTGCATGGTTCATCAGCTCAATTGCTCTGGGCCTGAGGCAAGGCAGAATACCAAAGTGGCAGGGAGTGGTTTCTCAGCTCATGGCAGCCAGCAAATATGGAGAAACAGAGGAAAGGCCAGAGACAAGATACAGTCCCCAAGGGCATGACTCCAGTGACCTACTTCCTCCAACCATGCCCTGCTTATAGTTTCTAACACCTCCTAGTAGTTCTTTCAGGTTATTAATTAATCAAATAGATTAATCCACTGATGAAGTTAAAAGCCTCATGGTCCAATCATTTCCCAAAAGCCCTACTTCTGGATGCTGCTGCACTACGGATCAAGCCTTTAACACATGAGCTTTTCAGAGACATTCCAGATCCAAACCATAGAAGCAGCCAAGTACACTCAATATGTTAGGACTCTGTTACAAGTGAAGGAGTCTAACTCAACTAGCTTGATCACAGAAAAGATGGAGGTGGGTGATGTTTACTTATCTATTGGTATATGGGTCACATAATTAAAATTCAGGGTTGATGTAAACTTTGGCAAAACTGGATACGGCATGTTTTGTTTTGGATATGGTTTGAGTATGTCCCCCAGAGATTTATGTGATGGCAGCTTGTTCTCCAGTGTGCCTATGTTGAGATGGTGGAAGCTTTAAAATGTGGGCTCCTAGTGCAAGGTAATTAGATCATGGGGGCTTATCTTAAGAAGGAATTAACATAATTCTCAGGAGACCTTGTTAGTTCCTTTGAGAGCTGGCTGTTAAAAAGGGTAAGTCTCTCTGATTTCCTGTCTCACCATGTGATCTTACCCTTTTTCAGGTACCATTTCCCTTTCTGCTTTGCCATATTCTCCACAACCAGAGGAGCCTTTACCAGAAGTTAAAATACCTGATCTTGAACTTTCAACCTCCAAAACTTGAGCACTTTATGCAATACCCAGCCTCAAACATTTGGTTATAAAATATATACAGTTCTCTCTCTCTCTCCCTCTCTCTCTCCTTCTCTCCTTCCTCCCTCCCTCCTTTCCTCCCTCTCTCCCTCCCTGCTTCCCTCCTCTTTTTCTCTCATCACTGGGTTGTCTTTCTTCTTCAGCAGGCTAGTGGTGGCAAATATGAACACTAACAGTTCATGTCCTTCTTTTTCCATGTCTCATTTTTACAGACAGCAATTCCAGAGAAAATAGAACAGATCCAACAAAAGTCCCAGAGATGCTGCCACCTGGACCAGCTTGGGTCATATGTCCTTCCCATATGTCCTTCACTGTGGCCAAAGTGAGTCTGATTGGCAAATCCAGGTGACCAGCCTAACCCTTGTAGTGGGAAAAGGTTATCTAAAACCAGAATGGGACTATTGCCATATCTAGTCCCAGAATGGAAAAGGTGAGACCTGACAAAAATAGTAGTAATCTACTGAGATCTCTCTAGTGGACAGCTGCCATTCTTTTTATGCACCCAGTACTTTTGAACATCCATTCCATCTGAGTATCTACCACATGCAAACTAGATTTTTTTGGGCCCGGGTTGTAGCTTAGTAGTAGAGTGCTTGCCTAGCATGTGTGAGGCCCTGGGTTTGATCCCCAGCAGCACATAAAACTAAATAAAATAAAGGAATTATGTCCATCTACAACTAAAAATATATTTTTTAAAAAAACAGATTTTTTTCCCCAACCTCCCTTGCAGATGGAGTACAGGCACGTGACCCACATACAATGGCAAAAGGCTGAATT